TGATGTTCTACAGAAAAAAAAATCATCGAAAAGGATGCACCCTTTATCGTAATATGATGAATTTATTCTCAGAATATTGCCAAATTATTCTCGAAATCTCAGAATTTTTTTTCCTTAATGTGGCCCTAATGCGCCGTCGTACTTAGCAACAACAGAATCATCAAATTTTGTTTTTGCCCTTTTCTGCTTCCCTCTAACCATTTCCTCTTCGTCCTGCTTATCTTGGTCCTCCTCGGCTTGGCTGGTGAAGTTGATCGCTTCACGTTCATTAACACTCGACAGAGGTCACAAACGATTCAACTGTGATAATCATTATTTCATGAACAAAATTTTTACTTGATTGCTAAGGAATGAAACCATTCATTAATCAAATCAAAACATACCTGATGCAATTTGTTTCTTTACTAATGGGAATACAAGCCAGTCATCATGAGGGTCCTTCTTTTTCTTGAAAGCTTCTGATGATTTATTATTTGTCCATTTGACTGTTTTGTAATTTATGTCTATCCAGTTATGAGGAACTATGACCTCCATCTTCTTTCCATCCTCCAGCCACATAGCTCTTGTGTACATCATCTATGGAGAATAGTATGTACATGTGACTTTAGTTTTAACATTTTCATTTCTGATTTCAGATTTATTTTAAAAAACCCAGTACATTAGGGTACAATAACAATAAAAAACTAAACTAAAACAATATTGCTTGTGTATACTTAAGGTTTGTGTTCCACGCCATGACAAAGGGGGGTATGAGGACATAACTGCCAGTTTCTCGTGGTAGGCAGGCCACCTTGCGGAAGAGTTATGTTTGACGCAGTAGTCTTTTCATCCTGCCTTTCATATTCCTGAGTGCACTATATTTAGCAGTCTGGAGCTACACGGTTGTTGAAACAATGTTGAAGTGTGGTGTTGGTGCACAATTTCACACACAGAAGTGTTGTCTGCATTTTTGTCTTGAATGAAAGCAAATCTGTCCTCTCAAGAGAAAACATCTGTTTTTGATTTTCACAGAAACATACACTTTAAGCTGAGTTTTGCTCTCATTCACTTGTGCATGTTCAATTTCTGACAAACGTCTTGTGACCTGTTCCAGGGGACTTCTCCTACTCCTCTCCCTTCTTTACTTGTTGCAGATAGCTTTCAAAAGGAAAACACAGAATTTAATTCAGTGAATGGTTGAAGTGTCTGACATCTTCATGAAGATGACTTAGTTCATGTACATTGTACACAGGAAAACACTTGCCATGCAGGTCAGCACAGCGCTTGGCAAAGTGTTTCATTAGTTCATGAGCAAATTGGAGGTAAGCAGTCCGTGTCCTCTCATCTGACTCCAGCATTATCGACTTGGGAAAGACAGGAAATGTTTGGGTCTTGCTGGGGTCAACACATTTTCTAGCACCACAGGCCCAGTTTACAACAAAAATTGGCGTAATTCCGTGGCTTTCCACCTGTCAAGCTCATGTAAACCCTGGGGTTGGCAAGCAAATTCTTTCGGCATCTGTCCTTTGAGTGCATTTACCCCTAGATTCCACCGGGCACGTGTCTGCAGCTTAACGTGAGCGACGCTATTTTGCTCCATCTTGCAGGCAACTTTATGTTCCACTGAGCTTGAAACGTCAGCGCAGCGTTCTGCCAGCTGATACAATTGACCTGCTTAGATTTTGTAAATTTCATAATTTTTTCCAGGATATTTGTGCAATGAACATAAATGCTTTCTGTTGTTTTTTCTGCTTTAATTGCATTTAATGTCATTTCCGACTTTGTTGTGCTGTCGCCTTCTACAGTCCAGCCGTGAACGCCATAGATTAAAAAACAAAAATGTGCCCGTGTTTTAGTTAAAACAAAATCACAGACAAGTAGTTGAAAAGTAACTGATAAACAAATTTTATATCAAAGATTTGTGGCTAGTTTCTTTTAGTTAAAAGTGTATCCCCTGGATAGTCACTTCCTGCCTGGCACGAACTGGTTTGCGGTTCCCATTAGCACAAATACTAACGTAGTTGGATCCAATGACTGTATTTGGTCGAACTATGGGAAACGTATCCCTGCTATATTCAGATCAACGCGACTGCGGCCTGCCACCACCAGAAGTAGACTCGGGTCGCATTCTCGATGAAGCAGCGTGGAGAGCCGCTTCTAGGACGCTGCCGAGACGTGCCGTGGCGCGGCTGGTGGAATCACAACCATTGTCTAGAATGGCCGCGATCAACTCCGGCAACAACGCGGCCAAGAATCTTGGGGTCAGTTTTTGTGATATTTCATCCTTCTGCCTCAGGGACAAATGAATAAGTTTTGGGCCACGGGTCAGGAAAATTAATAGGTGTCTTACTACTCCCAAGATGACCAGGTGCATGTAATCTAACACAAATTAAGTTGCACATGGATTGCTTGCATTAGTAAATGGGCTTGCACTGGTTTAGTGTCGCTGTATTCTACTGAAAGCTTCATCTGTTCAAGACATGCATTCGCTTTCATTGAAAACTATTCTTCCTTCAAAATGAGCACCTCTGATTGTGCACCTTTCACGACTTTTATATGCATTGTAAGTCTTAATACACTTAAGCCCTTGCAGGTGCATCAAAGATAATACTTTTGATATGAATGGAGTAAGTCTGCTCTTTATAAATGATTCCATTGTCTTTCAGATGTTTGTACTCACTCAAAAAGTCACTGAGATGCTCCTCACAGGGATAAGGCTTCTTTTATTCTCTAAATGTAGCTACAATAAATGGATCAAAATGGCTAAACTTTGCCAGTATTGGCCAGAATTGTATACCACTTCTTTTAAAAAGCAGGATACTGTAAACTTTAACATGGGGGTTTACATTGTTTCTATCTGTCTGACTTGAAAAAGGACGGATCCCCTTTTCAAAGCTGTAGTACATGTACTGCCCACCGCATTTAGCCTCAGATGCTTTATTTCATGGAGTACAAGGAAGAGTCCTGGCATCCACAGGCAACAAGTGCCCTTGCTTTCGTAATATGGACAGTAACTCATTCACAGATGTCTGTTTCTCTCTTTTATTTATGGCCTACTGTCTCAACTCCTCTTCAAAGTTCACAGTCACTTCAGCTTCATTATTTAGTTCTTTTTTTGTGTCTGTTGTTTCACTGTCAATGTCAGTGTTGATGTCAAATTGATCACAACTGTTCGGCAAGCCAGGCACATTGTCACGGTCACAACTATCAGAATTGTCAGGCACATTATCATTATTAGAACTATTCAGCCAAACTCATTGTCATCACTGTCCAAATCTTGCAAAAGATTATCCATTTCTCTTTTTCTTTTTTGCCATGTTCTCAAGTAAGCCATTGTAAAACACATACATCTATGCAAGTCTAGTTTGAGTGTTTATTTGACAGGGAAAATGTGGATTTAAAATGTTACAGAATTGCACAATCCTGTTTTAGGTGAAATGCTTTCAATGGTATGTTGGGAGTAGCTAATGTTTATAAATAAATGTGTGCAAATGCACAGCACTGGTGAAAAAAAGCAAAATCCTCATCACTCAAAATATAGTGCTAGCAAAACAACAGGTGGTCACAGCAAGCTGAGATGCTCCAGCAATTGATAGAATTGAACTGATCCAACAACAGGGTCATTTACCTGCACTCAAAGGAAATACAATTTAATGACTATGCTTTAAAACTTAAATTTCATCCAAGGCTGTGTTATAGTTCTAAATTGTAATTATGTTAAAATAAAGTTGAGGCTGAAGTTTATTTGACCCATAAAATCAAACGAACAGATGATCCTAATGTCTGGCCAGATTTACAGTTTGCAAACATTTATTGTCACCAGATCTACTGTAAAACACTTAAGGCTATTGCTCTTGTTTAGAAAGGTACTAAGCAAATAAAGTACTATTCCAGTCATACTGGCAAAGCAGGAGAGTATGTAATTTCATGTCTTTAAAAATAAAGGCTTCATATGTTCAGTAACTTAAATTGTTCAGTTACTTATGCTTTACAGGACGGAAAAATAAAGCCTGAATGAAACAGGGTTTTCAGGAGGCAGTTAAGATAAAGCGGTAAAGTAGGGCTGAACAATATTGACAAAATAAAATATGCTACGACTGTATACCTCAAAATCAAAAATATGTAATCACCAAGCAGTAGAGGCATTGTTAATTTTACAAACGCCTAAAAGGCTTGGCATTTCCCATCAGTGACATCATACAAGGGAATCCCCAGTGTTTTGTGCTGACATTTGCATTAGCCATTTCCATCACCAATGAATTTTAGATTACCTTAATTGAGAGTATGCCATACTGTGCCGCCTTTGGCTGCAATTCCAACTCAGCAAAAGACAAAGGATTGTATTTCCATGCCTTTCCAGAAGAAATGCCTGAATTCACTTTTGTCGTCCGGAATATTTCTCCCCTTCAGCTCACCACAGATTGTGCTCTCGCCATTTCTCTCAAGAACAATCTGCTTCTCATCCCGAAATAAAGGCACATTGCGGGTACTTGAATGCCAGGCCGCAGTTAACAGAACTGTTTCCTGAGTGGGACACTTTTTTTGGTCGCATTCGAATGAAATTTCCCCTAAAATTCAAATGTGAAAAATTGCAGAAAGATTTCAGTCAATTCAATGGAACTAAACTATACTCTAATTCCTTACCTTTCTAACCAGATATCGTTTTAATCATATGCTGGAGTTTTGTCTTTACAAGAGACGACAAAACAATGCAAACGCCGGTCATTCAGCTGCGCGCTAAATGTTTCCTGAGTGGGACACCCATAGCTCCTAACTGTTAACACTGAGCAGTGCTGGTTTTGTGAAGGTATTGGCAAAGGTTGTTCCAGAGTCGGCAAAATCAACAGCAATATTGGATTTAGCCTAGCTCATTAATAGCAATAAAAACACTTATTTTAGCTTACTTAATAATAGTTTTGCATTTAATCTTCGCGTGTACGCTCATGTTTCAGCCTGGAAAAAGGCTGGAAAGTGGGTCTGGTCATTAGTGTCCCACTCAGGAAACAGCCCGGACATAGGGTGGCACAGTCGCCCAGTGGTTAGCACTGCTGCCTCACAGCAAGTTGGTCGTTGGTTCAAATCCGGCCCGGGGCCTTTCTGTGTAGAGTTTGCATGTTAGTGTGGGTTTTCTCTTGGTTCTCCGGTTTCCTCCCACAATCCAAAGACATGAATGTCAGGCTAATTGGAGCAAATGCTAAATTGCCCATAGATGTGACTGTGAGAGCGAATGGTCTGTGAATGGAGTGGATTGGGGCCTTTCACCCAGAGTCAGCTGGGGTAGGTTCCAGCTCTCCCGCGACCCTAGTGAGGAAGAAGCCGTATAGAGAATAGATGGATGGATCCCACACATCCCTCTTGTGATGAGGCCAGGACAGAGTTGCAAGAAGCCTGCTACCGAACTTCATCGAAGTGCTATCCGAAGAGACGAGGGGGTTGCAAGAAGCCCGCTACCGAACTTCATCAAAGTGCTATCCGAAGAGACGACGGGTGCAGGAAAGCTACAACGTAGATCTATAGACTAGAGAGCAGGCCTAGATAATAGATAATTTGACGGGGCATAATAGTCATATCAATATACTAAGTATATACTGATGTATCTCATTAAATCATCATAAATGATTACTTGATACTTTGTCGTGATGTGGTATTTGCGCATTGTCCTGTTTTCATCATTTTTTTTCTAACTTATGGCTAGCTGGGTTTTTATTCTCGGTTTACCAGAGCCATGATGATCACAGAGCTTTTTTGCCACATTGGTTCGTAAGAGTAGCCATTAGTCTTTGCTAATAATCAGTGGCGCTGGAAGGAGTTTTGAAGTGGGGGAACACTTACTTATTAACTCGTGGAAGTAACTGTATAACGTAAACAGTAGAAGAAAATATTGGTCACTATTGAAATAACATTTTAACATTAACATTAGAAATAACTTTTTGTAATGAAAACATGAACAGAAAAACATCACCAGTGCTTCATCTGTATCTTAATATATTCATTTCTGATATTTCTTAAATACCAAAGTAAAATGACTGTGTTATTTCATTTGGCTTTTACCACGACAACTAAAGGTAAGCAGAGTCCACATTCAATTAATTTGTACATAGCTTCTTTTATTTATTCACCATGCTTGCATTAAAATGCATCTGTCTTGACCAAAATTGATGCAAAATGTAAAGTTTGTCTTGAAAAACAACCAGGTTCCTATGAAAACACACCTAGGATTTTTTCACAAAAGTTGCCTCATATAGTTGGCTAAATAATGTGCGAGTGTCGTTAAATTGCGAGACTGGTAACATGGATCCGGATTGCGAAAATTGGAACCATCCCTGTATTTAGAAATTATTACTATCTCAATTGAGTGTCAAAATAGGTCACTAAATAATAAACATGGAATGCTTGTTATACATACTTATCCTAATTAAGAGTTAACGTTAACGAACGGTTACCTCGGACATTTCCCCCTTCTAACCACGATCTAACGCGCGATAACGCGGTACTTCACACTGCTGATCAATGAGCCGTGTCGCAGGACAATTTACCGCCAGGAATAACCACATGTGGCTCCGCGGAACTGAATGTAGTACCGCGTGTAAGTTATAAAATAGAGAGCATTTTGACCGTTAGAATTACATTTGTGTTTGCCGTTATGTATTTTAACATCTTTTTGTTTTCTCTTGCAGTGAAAGTGGAAGTGAGAGCTTATGCGACCTCTGGAAAGCATGTGGCTGATCATTTCCTCGGTTGAAAAAGCCTAGCATGAACAAGAAAAAAATATATAATGATAAATTCGACAGTGTAATATAAGCAACTGTATTCTTGAAGGAAATTTTTTTGGTATTTTAAATATATGTCTTTTCATTGCAGAAACTGTGATTCTGAGAGTTTGTGGGTAGACCTTCAGCGAAGTGTGCCGCAATTGATTTATTGGTTTTGAAAAGCCAACCGCAATATAAATAAACAATAGATAGAGTTTAAATATAACTCTGATATGGTTTAGACAGTGTGAACTGTAATTAATCCAAACCAACTGCTAACTTGAAGAAAATAATATCCTGCAATCTCTACCTGGATGGGTATATGTATATACGAGTTTTAAATTCTTACATATATTTTTAACAAATAACTGACTTACCGATTTCGGAGCATTTTACTTTATACTGTATGAATACATTTTTATACATGTGCCTAATTATAAAGAGTATAGCCTGTAGCATGTATGACTTCTCACTCCAGGGCGCATCTGAAGACACCAAAAGTCCGGTAGGTGTGAATAATCTGGGATTACAGATCAGAGGGTTTCGTTATTAACTGAGTTAAAAGGATTTACAGGACTCCATATGTAAGCCATGCAGCTTAATTGCAAAACAATAGGCTATCCAACATCCAGCAATTGACACCTGTACTGGTCGTGACCTTGTGTTTTTTTAGTGCATTCTAGAGTCGTTATGGTCGAACTAAATTCATATTGTACACAATGCTTTTTTAGTTGCAAGCTTTGCAAACATTATATTTGAACATCTGAATGGTTATGACAAATCATTAAAACAAATAGAGACAATGCAAAACGTTTTGTCATGAAAAATTGGTTAAAAATTGCCTATTACCATTCTAAAACGATACAGTATATAAATCAAAAAACATTCAAGTTCTTTCCGTAAATGAATTTTACTGAGACGGGGTGCGAGTAATCTTCGATATAGGAATGGATATAAGCTACTAAATTACAGGTTTGTAACAGGAAAAATAATATATTTCGGCACTTGAGTGTAAAATAATAGTACATAAAAGCACATATTATCTCCGAAAATAAAATATTGCAGAAATGATACCTGACAAACAAAATCCTCACCAAAAATAGCTTGATATTTAATAATCCAATAGCGTAGCCATTATACCGCACTAAAGTTTTAAATAGTAGCACAGGTTGAGCAAACTGTATTGTCTAATATAAAAAGGTTTGCAGAAATGTTCACCGGCAACATCACCCCCGCCAAAGCAAATCAATATTTTATGTAGGCTAACGTTACTCTTGCATTCATATATGGAAATAAATCACCAAAAAGCTGTGCCATTATCTGCATGTACGGACTACTATCAACACGACCGCCCCAACCGCCCTCATAGCTCAGTTATGATTAAACAAACACCCGGCTAACGGGCTGTCGCCCAGCTACCGCGTGTGCGGTAGGCGGCGGGAGGTCTTCTTTTGTCTTCGTGTGCATCAAGATGCCTGTCCTACCGCACAACGAACGACGAGATTTCCCGATCCTACCGACAGCCTAACGCCCCCCTACTGCTAGATTAACGACCTTTTCTTTGGTTTTAACGGCGACTGTACTGTATATGTACATGATTGACGAGACATTGGCCTTCCGGATCATTCTGGATCATAACTACAATACATCTGAAACACATTTGTCCTTTTACAATTGAACAAATATAGATTGTTTCTATATATAGTTGTATGTTAATTTATTAGGATATAATAACACTTTCAGGATCACCTGTAATTATGATCAGTTAACGGTGGTGTATTCAAGCTATTTTTATTATATACTACATATTTCTCAGAAAAGCCATTTAGATGTTTTCATAAACTGTATACATTGTATAGGTTCTATATCTCCCAGGCCTTGTTTTCACTCCACTGAGCAAAGTGTAGTATGCGCTTGTGGTCACACTTCAATGATTTTGTGAACCACAAAGCATTCAACATTGTTGTATGACAGGGGTAGGGAACCTTCTCCAGAAAGAGCCACTGTCCGTGCAGGCTTTCATACCAACCTAGCTGCTACACTCCTGATTCTACTAATCAACCTTTGGAATGTTTTTTAGGGGCCTTGATTACTAGAATCAGGTGTGTAACAGCTTGGTTGGTATGAAAGCCTGCACCCACAGTGGCTATTTACACATTTACGAGAAAATATGAAAAGACATTGAATGAGTTTTGTGTGGTACTATCTTTATTTTTATGAATTAACCTGAAGCTGAAGAAAGTTTTGGAAAATGCACCAACTGAAGGTTTTTTTTTTTTAAACAAAGCAATGTAACACCTTATATCTCTTTGATCTCTTAGATCTCTAGTAGGCTATTTCTGTGTGTGTGTGTGTGTGTGTGTGAGATGTCAACCTCATAGAGCTCCGAAAACATGACCTCAACACAGTGACAAATGCTCTTCAAATTAGCCTACATATATTTGTCTGAGGAGTGAATTTGCTCCAAAATTGATTTGTTGGCTGACAGCCTTCAGTGGAATTGCGGACAGGTGTCATCAAAATTGGCCCATGTAACAATCAATGCCTTTAAAGTGGGAACGGTCATGCAGTTCCTCTCGTCAGTCCAAGTATTGTTCATTATGGAAAAGATCCGCTCAATGGGAGCATTTGTGCCAGGCAGACACATGGCAAACTGACAAATTAGACATATATTTTTGGACGGAATCTCCCTGCTTCTGGAATGCGCGAACATCTCCGCCCAGCGCTCGTCTGCTGGTATCCATCAGCCTTCCACTGTGCGACCATCCTGTTTAAATTAAAATTTAATTTCAACCATCCAAGGAAATGGTGAACGAAACTCACGTTTAGTTCATGTGAACAAGCCACGGTGCTCAGTAAAATGCAGTGTGTAACTGTACGTCTCGCTACTCGACAGTCCATGCTGGCCCAAGTGAAGATTTCTGGTCTGGCTGAAATGAGACCGATTTGCCGCTGACGGACGGTGAGCAAAATGATTGCAAATTACCGGAGACACGATCGTATGACGTATGATTAAAATGTTTGGTTTGATGTTGATAATTTACTCGTGCCTGTTTGTCTAAACAGGCTAATCTCTTTAAGCTGGAAAATTGAACTGGATGGCGAGCCAAAGAAAGAGGACTATGTACTGTGCCAATTAAAGATTTTTTTTTTCCTGTTCGATGCCCAATGAGTGTGACTCACCTATAACATCTTTGTTTAAAACTTCAAACGCATGAGGTTTAATGAGGCATGAATGCCACTCTAAAGGTTAGATGGTGTACTACAGCACTGTTGATTTAAAGGCCTTATTATGTGTTAAGTATTACTTTGTGTTATTTGTACAATGTAACGTTGCTGGCGT